TCCATGTCAATATGGACAATGTAGGGTCCTACAGATGTTTTTGCCCGGGCCGCCCCCCCCCCTGCCGGCTCAACAGCAGCAAGGCCCCCCCGGTGGCGCTCGCTGCGGGGGTTCTTCGGACCGGATCCGCCCTTCCCGGCTCCCCCGGGACTCTTCAGCGGGCCCGTGGGAGGGGGCGAGGCGGGGCGAGCACCCCAAATCCGCCAGGGACCCGGCTGAGCCCTGGCATTTTTAAAACGGGCACCTTTATGTCCCCGTGGGCTTTCCTGGGTTTGGAAGTGTCTGACCCCAAGGAAAGAAGCCAGAAGCCCCTGACTGTGAGTCGGAAGGGTGTCCCCACGTTCTCAGAGGGTGTGTGTGTGTTTTATTTTGGGGTGAACCTCAAGAGAGGGCACTCAAGGACTTTGGGACCGGGAGGGCCGCTGGGGGTTCGCAACTGCACTTCCTGTGTGTCGGCGCAGCGAAGGCCCTGGTGGGCTGATGGTTGGCGATGATGGCGCCCTTGGGGAGCCAGCGGACTCACCGGGGGCTGTGAAGCCTTTCTCCGCCAGACTGGTGAGCCAGCCAGCCAGCCAGCTTAGCCAGTTCCAGTGGGTGTAGCGAAAAAAGGGCCCGGGGTGTGTGTATGGAGAGATGCACAAAAAACACCCAATCGGAAAGTGGTCCTGTGGCACCTGTAGCAGATTAATGCAATGGAAGTTTTTATGGATTTTACAGAGAGAGAGAGAGAGAGAGAGATGGGGAAAGGAGGCATTCCCCCTGCTGTCACCGGTCTCTCTCTCTCTCTCTTTCTCACCTTCAGGCCAAGTTTCTAAAACCCAAGCTGGTGCATTTCTTCAGCTGGTGCATGGGGCTGGGGGAGTTTGCTGGGCAGCACAGAATCCCCCCCCCTGCTCCCTCCTCCGCCCCCAATGGCTCAAAGAGGAGGGGGCTCCCTTTGGCCTTTCTTTCACATCACTGCTCAAAAAACAGGACCCTGGACTTTTCAAGCAACTCAGGAAAAGGGTCTGTGATGATGTTTGAAGGGTGTCCCTTTCTCTCGAAATATTTTGCTGGATCTTAGGGTGCCCCCGCCGCCCCCCCCCCAGGCTTGGCAGGGAGATGGCAGCACATCAGTCTTGGATAGATCCTGGCCTGGCCCCCCTCTGCACAAACACACACACCCCGGCAGGATGGAAGGAAAGGGGGGAGCGGGCTAGGTGTGAAATTTCTCATGGGCAAAGAAGCTGAATGGAACCTGCAGGGAGCCCTCTGCAAAATTTGGGCGGGGGTGGGGTGGGTGGGGGTCAAGGCCCAAATCTGCAAGGTTGAGAGTGGGGAAGGGCCCACCTCCTGAAGCCTGCAGGGGGAAAAGCAAGCCGAGGAAGGGGGCTTTGTATGGCTGGGATTGTAAAACACCCTCCCCCCTCCCGGCTCCCCCTTTCCTCAAAGGGGAACTCCAAGCCCCTCTCCATCTAATAGTCATTAGCATCAATTAGAAGCGTTTGAAGTGGCCAGCAGCTTTGTCCTCCTGCAGAAAAGGGGGTCCTCCTTTCAAGCAGCCCATCCTAATCACATCTGGAGGATGGAGGAGGAGGAGGGCCCTCTCTGTTTGTGAATGTGTGTGTGTGAATGTGTGTGTGTGTGTGTGTGCCCTCTGGCTCCTTTCATCTTTCCTCCAGGTGCTTGGAATGTTAAAACTCCCTGTTCTTTCATGGAGTGACCAGGAAATGCTTTTCACTCCTGGACACTTTGCTATAAGCCAGGGGAGGCCGGTTTCAAAAGAGGGCTGTTGGCTTAAGAGTTCCCAAA